ACGTGTCATGCCAAGCAAGATAATCGGAGCCTGACGTGTCCATCCAGACGATTATTCCGGGACCGGGAATTTGAGAGGTATCCAGGTGCACGAGCATCCACCATACTTACTGTGCTGCTCATCGTAAAGGATCAGGTGCGGGCATGCTTATTGTCCTTGTCATGCAGCCATTTGAGCGGGAAGCTTTGGATTTATTCCTCACTTCGGTCATAAAGGAACTACTGTAGCTGTCCGAGGTTTGGCACCTCGGCCCTGTCCTTACAGTATTTTTGTTTTAAAAGTTGTTTTTTTTCTTTCTTGTCATGATACATTTTGTTTTACTGTTTAATTTTAAATTCTGGTTTAATAAATTTTTAAAAATGCTTTATATTTTTAGTGTGTTCTACTAGTTCTCTTCTTGAGTGAATTTTAATGTTATTGATGTGTGTGTTCAAATTTGAATGGTATTGTTTGTGTTGATGGATTCATTATAGATTATATCTTGTTTGTTTTTACCCTAAATATATTTGTTTTGGATGATATATGCTCAGGTGATGTGTAGTGATTTTAATACTAAAATTTTGGCAGCTTAACTTACAAGTGAAATTTCTTGGCTTTCTCTTGTTTATCCTTTTCCAGTCATGCATGATCGGTGGTTGATATGCTTAAAGGGTATTTGTTTATTTCTGAAGTTGTGTTTTAATCTGAATGATTGTAGATTAAATAAAAAGAATTAGAAGTGGTAGATGGTAGTCATATAAAAAGAAATCAAGAATAAATTTAAATTGCTTGAATTTGTTGAAAGGTCCAGAAGTGTATATAGGTAAATCTTCATTTCCATGAAGAGGAGTGCTTGGGGTAGAAGTTTTACATTTTGGGTAGACAAGAAGTGCTCGCCTACATGGGGGAATGGGCAAAAGGAGCTTCACGGAGAAGTCGAGTTAGGACATATATTCCCTTTCAGCTTGAAATTGTTAAGAAAGAATGCAACATTCCCATAAAAAAGGCCAAGATGACTGGTATTTTTCAGTCCTCACAAAGGACCTATTTTGTTGGCAAATCTCAATCTTTCTTGGAAAATTCAGGTCCTGAAACTATTGTTAATGGTCATTTTACCTTAATTTTTTACTTTCTTGATTTAGCTCTTAGTTTTCTGTGCAACAAATATGCTAGTTATATGGAGGTATCTTTCTAAGAATCTGCATATCTGATATCCTTTGCTTAGCCACATATTTATGGTAACCATATGAAAAAAGAAATCCCGCAAGGGGGAAAAAGGGGGGTTATTGTTGTGGTGGATCTATCCTTGATTATCCTTTCCTATATACTTTACATGTAATGGTAATGGGATTATTGTCAGATAATTCTTTGTGTGAGAAAGAGTTTGATAGTAGTTTTCTTCTGATATTTATTAGTGGTACCTGCAAAGTTTTGATATCATTTG